TGTTTTATTAAGTGTCATTTATTTATCCATAAACCTGGTTTTGGGTTTAAATAAAAGCTTTTTCATTCTTATAATAAAATGCATATAAAAATTATGAAATCGAACTCGAAGGTTATATATCTTTCAATAAAAAGAAAACATTCGACCTCACAGGGATTCGATCTAGCGGTCTTGTAGTGATTGCAGTGCCCCTGGTGGTAACATTTGTCTCTAGTTGATTCTAGCAACGAGCGAAGATAGGAAGTCGAAAGACCAGTTAATCTACCGACTCTGATGTTAGTGATATCTGCAGGTATATAAACTCATTTGCATATTATTAAATAAATTATTGTTTTATCATAATTGGAAATTGCATTCTATTGTAAATACAAATTACATGTTATGTTAATATTTTTCAAGGTAATATCATCACACCATTCTATGTAAATTACCATAAATATGGCCTTATAAGACAATGAAAATTATATTGTAAATATACTACATCAAAAACCATAAACAATATTAAAGTTTTTTGATAGTAGTAAAATATTATAACAACTAACTATATTTAATTTTCTTTTAAATGTCTGTTACTTACACTTTCGCTTAAATTTCCTGCGTAGCCAAGATACAGGCGAGGTCCTTCCACAAGAAAGATAATGAAGAAAACTACACTCAGCACAATCTGGTAGATTTCATTTAAGGCATCGTACTATAAAAATATAATTCATGTATAATGCTTTAAGTAAATTAACATTAAATTAGATTCTATGCAGAAAGATAAAAAATTGATTATAAATCCTTTGATTTGATTATGTTGTTTGACATATGACACCAACCAGCTATGTGACTGTCTAATTTTGTCACTTCGACAGATCTAATCTGTAGATTGACATGAACAAAGAAGGAAAATCACACCAATCCAAACTACCCACGAGAGATTGAGGATTCAAATTCAGGTTTTTCTATAGCTGTAAGCTGAAGCCTTATCACATGGTCATGTAGCCAATAAGAAAAATTTATGTATATCTTATAACAAAAAAAACTTCTTATAATTACTTCGCTTTCAATGTATATTTTTCTAATAAACTTGATTAAAATGTTAAAATTTTAATCCTTTTTGAATAAAAATTTATTTGCATTACAAATTTGTTTCACTTGTCAGATTCTTTAGCAAACAAAGTTTTGCATTGCATAAAGTGAATGTCTAGGACTATAGTATGCCCTAAGTGCCGATAGTCAGTTGCATAAATATGCTAACAACTAAAGTGAACAGACCAATTAAACTATATGCATGTCTGGCATAATGGCATTTAGCAGTCACTAGGTAGTGCTTACTTTTACATCTAGAGCTTTGACAGTTTTTAGGATGGTGTTTTCCAGTTTTAACTGGCTACACTGAAAACTTTAAAATGCAATCTTTATTTTAAAAAGTATTTTATTTTTGGAAATCATCTCAAATAAATATATTACAATTTCATTTCTGAAAGTCAATACCACTTTTTTAATCATTTAATCATAAGTGAAATAATACTTCTGGCTTAAAGCATGAAGTGTTTCTATTTTTAGCAACAGAAATTAAGTGCAAACAATATATTTAATGTCCTTTCTAATCAAAGGAAAACTGGAAATTTAAATTGTTGATATTTTATTAAATATTTTGTTCAATGTAACTCAGAGGCAACAATGTTTTTTAGCATCAGCATTGCAGTACGGGAAAACTGCAATACAGTAAACCACATAAGTTGTAATACAGCATGTTACTTTAACATAAACTGTTTCAAAAGATCAGTAGGCTTAAAGTCTACAATTCTGTAAGAAAAAACTATATTGTCTGCCAAACACCTATGAAGTTCTCTTGCAGCCCATTCACTGACTTAAACAATAGATAAAAAACATGCAACCTTATGAAATGCCATGCAAAGATTCCTCCATCACCAATCTAAATGCTCAATATACTTAGAAGAGTCCAATTCTAAGGATTTCAAAAGGGTACTTACCTTCAAATTGAAGGTCAGAATATGAGAAATAACCCAGAAAGGTGTGAAACAGATATTAAAATACACTGCCATCTGAAGCAATAAAGAACTGGCTACTTCATCATCTAAAAATTATAAAAAAATTTTATTTGTTTTTATCTCATTTAGATAAATGTAAGATTTTTATTAATGTTGTAATTTATCCATAAATTTGGACAAGGAAATATCACAAAAACTAAATAAAAGTTAAAAATTGTGCATTATTTCTCTCAAGAAGTGAATTTGTTTTCCTGGTAATAGGAATAATTAGATGATAATCAGCTTTCTGCACATTATATGTACTGAAAATTTCCATTAACTTTGTATTAACTAATCTCCAACCACTCACAGGTGAAGAATATGTTTCTAAAACACAAACCATCATTTTTCTCCATGATTGAGTATAGCTATTTAGTTCAGCTTCTAAATAGCTGAACTCTAATGTCTGAATATATCCGAACTTAACAAATTGAATGCAAAATCAATTATGTGGTAAGATGCGAGTTCTGAGTAAGGGATTTGCCACCCCCAGAGTTATAGATCTCCCCTGTACAAGCAAAAAAGTCAATGGAACCAGACCCGTACATGTGACACTGTGAAATATTCACCTCCAAAAGTCAGTTTTTACTGTGAACCAGTATACTGCCTATTTTCCATATTCCGTGTCAATTAAGGCTTGCTATTGTTTGCCTACACCAGGGGTTGCCAAAGTGGTCGATATGGACCCCCAGGGGTCGATGCATCATCATTGGGGGGTCGATGAGGCTAAGGGGTCACAACCATTTTTTTTTTTTTTTTTTTTTTTCTTTTTTGTCTAGACATTTGAATTTGTAATTCTATTTTAAATATTAGCAAATGTTTTAATTATTTTATCCATTACATATATATTTTTAAAAAATGAATCTTTCTTCTTTGAATCTAATGTTTCAGTATAACTATGATCAGTTTTTACTATCTTGCATTTACTAACTTGTGATCAGTTTTTGTGTTTATATATTTAAAAATACTTGTATTATATATATGCTAGTTTAATAAGGAAATATGCACAAGTAATCCTTAGATTTCTATAACCTACAGCCTCTACTATATCTATATCCCTCTATAACCTGTAGTTAGGCTTTTAGATTCCAACTTCAGAATTAGTGAAAATAGAGTCTCAAACTGATTGAACTTTGGTTATTTTTTTATAATTTATTTGTTTAATTATTTATTGATTTACAAATTGTTTCTGTTTTATTGGCACGATCCTAAAATTGCTCTATTCAAAGACTGATTCTACAATCGAATATTAAAAACTGGCGAAACCAGAAACCAGTCCCTGGAAATTGGGACATCCAGTCACCCTACTGTAGTCTTACTTTAAGTATGAAAATTTGCACAACCTCACAAATAATTCTTGACATAAGCTATAACTTTTTACTATACAGGGATATTAATTTTATCATTAGTCTGTGTTTTGGATTTGTGCCAAAAACTTGTTATAACTTATGAGGTAACATTTATATTGTTTTCTGATATCATATTTAGAATAAATGCTTTCTATAGTACTGTATAGATACTAATAATTGTAGATTCAGCATAATATTTAGCATGAAATAAAATGAAGTTATAATCTATTAACAGCTAAATTTGCTTTTGTTATTCATTTCTAGATAGATGTAGAGTATCAATAAAATGTGTTTAAAAAATCTACATATTTTTTATTAATTAATTATAGCTGAAAATTCTTGATCTATGGTTATTATGATTGGTTACTAATAAAAATTCAGACAAAACTAAATACCGAGTTTCACTCTTACTTAGATTAAGTTATTTGTATAACAATGCATTGGTGTTGAGAATTTTATATGGTATATCTCATTTATTGAATGATTTCAATGATGTCACATCACAAATTTCAATTAACAAATTTGTAATGTGACATCCTCAATGCATTTATATTGCTACACTATATTACACTAATATTACAAATAACTTATTACTAAACACACTAAGTATTCTGGTTACAGAACCAAGTTCATATCAATCAATATCCTGCTGAATATTCCATGTGAGAATATAATTTAGAGATTATTTTAAATTGTAATCAAATCTTGCACATAGATATTATTTACATGAGGGCTTAAAATCCTCCTCTATCAATTGAAATACAAGATACTATATTTTCATATATTAAGAATTCTTTTTGAGGTTCTTTTCTTGACACAATAGAAAGGAAGCATCATTCCACAATGGGCATTTTCAAGCTTAAAATACAAATAGCGGTTTTGATACATCATTTATATGTTATAGCAGGTATTCTCTATCCATTGATTATTGTGCCATTGATATAGATATTGACATCTTGTGATGTATTTTATAATTCTTATGGCACATATTTAAGGAAAATTTCCGGGGCAATTTTCCATTTGGAGACAGAGGGTTGAGCAAACCCTTTGTCTCCTAGGGAACCCCTTTAGCGTTTCGTTTCTGCAACAAATGAAATACCTAGAATGTTTCTTTATTAAGAAAAAGTAGTTTTAAAGAGTTTATTTTCTGTTAATTTTATAGGAGTAGAAATCACTAATCCCTAAGTTTTCTCTTCAAGCAGGAAAAATCCTCTTCACGGCCCTGAATATTGTCCGTGTTCTTTCATATAATATGACACACGGCATGTGCTTGGATATGATTACGTTCAGTATTGGTTTTAGAAATTCTCACCCGAGACCGACACGTTATCCTATGGGAAAATTGCCCCGTTTTGCCTCCCAAATAGAGGCCCAAACCAATCTTTTATAAAGTCTAATGTAGTAAAATTATCGAAATTAAATTTGGGCCATATCCGAGAATCCCAAATTGTCAGTATGGCGTAGGCGCAGGGTGCAATGGAGTAGTGCGGAAGTTAAAACACCAGAAGTCCCATTATGAAAACGAACGAGGATACCGGGAATTCTACCCAAAAATTCCGCTAAAGAAAAATGTCTGAAGTCAATATTCTACACGAGGCCCCCTAATTCAAATTTGCCTGGGCCCCATGAAATTATAACGCGCCACTGACCTGAGAATGGAATGTATAGCATATCACGAAAAAGTTTTAGAGATTTACATTCTCTGAGGAAAGTCTTCCCGATCTCTGGATTCAACGCCGATTCTTACGAATTATTTCAGAACAATCATCTCGTTTGTATGAGTCATAAAGTGCTATTAAAAGTCCAATCTAGGTAATTGTTCTAATTCATAATCTATAAATTCTACCTCTCCATCCAAATGGGGATTGGAAACATTAATGTACTGTATTCGAATCTGAAAGTCTAGACTGAAATAATTCACGAAGTACATAAGATTTATGATTACATAAAATCCAGAACACATTATTACGATATATATTTCGAATAGATTTTACTATCTAAAGCGTACTTTTTAATATATACGACTATAGGAATAAAGGATCAAAATGAATGAAATAATGACCGAGCGGATAAAGTTTCAGCCAAATATTCTGAGGGACCCGTGATGGAATTCGGGCGAGCAACTGGTGGAATTTTTCATGGTCGGAAAGGCCCATCCCTCGCCACTCTCGTTCCCGTTGTGGGCCCGATCAAACTCACGAAGGTTATGGGATAAAAGACCCTCTTACACGTTAGTGCCCACGGGACAAAAATGTAAAGAATATTAAAAAATCACGAGATGGCTCTCCCGCAGCTCTTTGAGTGACATTACAAAACGATTAGTAGGCCTACATGTAATTGTTCTGTAATGTTATACAAAGAGCTGCACTTAGAAAAAGGAGTAAGAAAAAACAAAGTGATCGAATGTGTAAAAAAGTAGATAAACCCCATCAAGAAATTATCATAAATTAGTATTAAATTTTATTTTTAAGCTTCTAGCTACAGTTATGGTATCAAGTTCCAAACATTTATTATTTATAACTCTTTTAAATCACAGTAATTCCTGGCATCTAGAGTTTATTGTTTACACAAACTTTATGACTACAGAATAAGTAGGAAATATATGGTTTTCTTCCATAGTTTCAATCAGAAATTCATGCAATATTTTGAAGTGGACCTTACATAAAATCCTGTATATTTGAATATTTAGAGATCGTTCACCCTTAAAACCTTATTTTTTCTGCTAAAATCGAATATTTAAAAAGTTCCTCGAAATTAATAAGTCTACGCTGACCTTCGTCGCGTACCTTTACATATGTTAATATTAAACAACGTATCGACGAAGGTCGAACTAAAGTATTCCGCAATCGATCAGCGTTGACACTCGCCACGCAGCGGTGTTACGGTGGACAGAAAAACAGCGACTACATGAAAATTCTGTAATTCCATTAACATTTTAATGGCTCTTATCGCATTTCTATCTGAAACTTTTTAAAGGTAGGATTTAAATACGGTCGTTCACTTTCTTATTAACGTATCGATTGAATTCTCACTTTTATGGGTACATAAATCACGAAAGGGTATAGTTATTATTTATGCTCGCTTTGTAGCTATTTAATTTAGACATAAATATATAAAACCTCTATTGTGCAAATACGGGAGCTACGCTATCATTTTGGAAATGTAAAATTGTAAATTTTCATTTTGTAAAGGAAAAAATAGGGTCATCGATCGTTTCGTCGGTGAAATTACGTGAAGGCGTATCTCAAAATTTTTGAGTTAGATACGCCTTTAAATATAAGCCTGGGTCTTTCGTGTTGTGACGGAGCGGCATATCTCTATGTAACGCCGTTTGTGTTTTGTGGAACGATAAACATTGGGCGTTTCTCAAATATCTGATGAAAATATTATGACTTATGGACGTTTCTCGAGAGGCGCTATAAACACTACGAGAAAAGAGAAGTTTTTCGTTCGTGTTTGCGGTGCTCCATTCTTTTGTGCTGGAAACATTTTATGGAGGATTTGCCTACGTGCTCCGAGGGAATACGACCAAGCGAAAATTACAATGGTAAAGAAAAAGAAACTTTCTCGGTGCAGTGATGCAGAATATTTTTCGGTAAATACAAAAAAAAAGGGCAGAGTAGAGTATTAGATTCAATGTGCCGTACTGAGTGGTGGAAAACGGAAGGCAGTGTGCTAAGTTTAGCGAGGAATGCAGGCAGGCCATATTCAAAGCGTTCTACCAATGAGGTGACTCGCAGTTTCATAGGGAATTTATTCTGTGGCACATTAAGCAAATACCGAAGAAACCGTGTACAACGGGTAAAACGGAATCGCGTCGTCGAAATACGAACTTCTTTTTTCTTTCATTGGAAGGAAACGCAGTCAAAGTGTGTCGTAAATTATTCACGAACACTAAGTATCAGTGAGAAAACAATCCGAACAGTACTCGAAGAACTTGAAACTACCGGCATGAACCAAACAGATGGTCCTGGTGGTAGCTGTGTTGCAGCCGCATTGAGGTAAAC